GGCTACTGCCATTTTTAGTCTGAAACGACACAGGGTCTGTAGGCCCTTGTTTTTCAGGCTTTCGGGCTGAACAGACATGGGGCCTGTAGGCCCTGGTTTTCAGGCTTTCAGCCTGAGGGACGCAGGGCCTGGAAAATGGCCCCCCCTCCTTATGAAGTCAAGCCGGGGCGAGGGCGAAGCTGACGATCTGAAGGTGGGAACCTGGACGCGGGTGCAGCGTGGAGCCGAAGAGACCGGCTTGCCTTGCATCTTGCGTTCGTAGCGTGCGAGAACGTCTGGAGCTGTTGCTTGAAGTTCCGCACGGGTCAACCAACGGTCAGCTCGGTGTGTGCAGTATGCAAAATGTACTAAGTACTCGGTTGGCCTGTTGCCATAGCGTTGCTGGGAGATGATGTCGCCGACCTCTTGAAAACCGTCCATAGAGGGTGGGTCTTGCGATCGTCGCCCGGGAAAATCGTCATGTTCCGCTGGCGTGTAAAGAGCCAACTTGGAGCAATGAAAGACCGGGTAGATGGGCAAGTGGGTGGGCACCTGAATGGTGAAGGAAGGTCCCTCGGGCGCATCCCCAGCGGGTGCCACGATCGGCCAAGGCCCCATCCATTTCGGGAGGAGCTTGCGAGAGATATCTTGTTCAAGGCTGAATTCTGCGGCGGAGACCCAAACGAGGTCGCCGACGCGGAATGGGCAAGGAAGACGCTGGCGATTGGCCTGTTGGCGCATGCGTGGCTGCGTCTTGGCCATTTGGTCGCGTACCTTGACAAGTAGCTCTTGCATCCGATGCAAGAAAAGAAGATGGTCGTCACTCTCGGCCGTTCGTGGAATGATGGTGTCCGACGGCGAAGTGACTGGCGAGCCGTGCTCGAACTCGAAGGGCGACATCCCGATAGTCGGGTGGATGGACGAGTTGTAGGCCAATTCGACATCCGGCAGCCGCTCGACCCAATCCTTTTGGTTGGGACGAATGAGAGTGCGAAGGAGAACCTGTGCAATCTGATGTGCCCTCTCCGTTTGGCCATCGGTTTGGGGGTGGCGAGCCGAACTTAGCTTGAGAGATGAGCCCCATCGTTGGATGAGCGCCAACCAAAAGTCGGACATGAACCGAGTGTCGCGGTCGCAGACGATTTCCTTGGGTAACCCTTGGTTCGAATCCAACCGGTGTAAAGAACCTTGGCCAACTCCGATGCCTTGGCATGATAGCGGCAAGGCAAAAACATGGCGAACTTGGTGAGTCGGTCGACCACCGTGAGAATCCCATCCACTCCGGTTTTGTGCTTGGGGAACGGGCCGGTAATGTCCATGGCAATCGCTTCCCTTCACCTCAATGGGACCGGTAATGGTCGTAACTCTTTGTACGGACGATGGTTGCGGGATTTGCAGCGTCGGCAAACCTCGCACGACTCGCAATAGTGTGTGACATCGCCGAGGAGGCCGGCCCACCAAAATCGCTCGCGAAGTCGGCCAATCGTGCGATTGACTCCAAAGTGTCCGGTGGCGGGAGCATCGTGGAACTCGCCAAGAAGCCGTGTACGCAAGTGAGGGTCACTCGGTACGCAAAGAAGGTCCTTCCCCCGCGTGTGGACAAGCAAGTACCCCTCTTGGATCCGGTAATGAGAAGGCGTCGGATTAGGAGAGGAGCAATTCGCGTACTTGTCGCGAAACTCAGGGTTGGCTTGGTAGCCGCAGATGAAGCTGTCCCGCAGGTCGTTGTCAATCTCCAAGGTTGAGTAGACCGCGGTACAATGATCCGGATGCCGTGAAAGAGCATCCGTAAAACGGTTCGATACACAATCGTAGATCCTTGTTCTTCTTCCGGACGAAGAGAACTGGTGCTCCATATGGGGAGCTACTAGGGCGGATCCAGCCCTTGGCCAACAAGTCGTCGAGTTGTGCGTGGAGGACCTCAAGCTCCTCCTTGCTCATCCGATAGATGCAACCTTTCGGCGCCACGGCACCGGTCTCAAGAATGATCTTGTGAGAGATCGGCCGACCCGGCACCACACCAGTAGGTAACTCGAAGATGTCGGATAACTCATCCAGCAACCGCACCACCCGGGGGTCCGAAGACAAGTCCGTAGGTGAAGAGTCGACTACCGCGATGGTCCATAGGAAACACAGGCCGATTTCCTCGGGTTGCTCGTAAGCGCAAGTTGCTCGGAATGATTTGGCCGTCACCACTTGGCACCGGATCGAAGGGTGCGGAAGAGGAATAGTACACGGTACTTCGGCGCCGAAAGCGTCTCGAACGGTAAGAGTCCGCCGGTGGAAGTTGACCGTGTGATCCGCACTTGCAAGCCAAGGCATTCCCAAAATAATGTCGAAGTCCGTGTCCAAAATGTCGAACGTCACCGGTTCGCATGCATGAGGTGCGAAATACACTGGTACAGCCTCGATGAAATGGGTGCTCGGTTAACCTGCTCTCCGATGTAACGGTCGAGAAGTTGTTGCGTCTTTCCATCCGCCAACTTGATCGCCGTTGGGTTTGCCTTCCTCAAACTTGTGCGCCAAGGCCAGCCCTTTGCATAAAGGCTTGGCTCATGAAATTGCGAGACGCGCCGCTATCCAGCAAAGCGCTGCAGAACGCTTGCCCAACTTGGATGCGGACATACATGAGCAGTGTTGTCATTGTACCGCTGCGTGCGAAACTTGCGGGCGACCTTGGTAACATACGCAAGGATGTTCGCCACCGTGACTTCGTCATCCGTTGGCGAAGTTGGTGGTGCATAGAAGGATAAGTACGTGTGAAGATGAGCGCATAGTGTTGCGCATTGCGGTCCCGGCAAGCGGCCCGTGGTCGAGAGAGGAAGCCATGTGAAATCCTCGGACATGAGCGGGTCCAATACCTCTATGTTGAACTCGCGTGCCGAATCCCGTGAAGAACCACTTGAAATCGATAAGTCGCCGCTGCCGGACGGAGAAGATGCCGCATACACGTCTTGTCCTTGAGCTTGAGTACCCAACGTAGGAACGAGTCGGGCAGCATAGTCCTCAAAAGAGTAAAGAAGAGGACTATCGACTTCCGCATGTGCCTCGGAACGAAGGGCGGTCACCCGCGAAGTCACTGGTTCCGAAGGTGTCCAGAGTGTCGTCGAGCCACTCCCGACGGTGCTCAGTTTCCCGATTTGCCCTTGCCTTTCGCTGTTGCACCAGAGGCAATAGTGAAATCTCGTGTGCGCTTTGTATGCTTGCTCGGAGAGACCGTATTGGGACCATGGGGCTGGAGCTGCTGCACCGGGCCAGTGTTTGTCTTCACCTTGCCACGTCCTCGGCCTTTGCCGGGGCGGCCACCTTCCCAGGCGGCTGCGAGTCTGTCCCCTTCATTGGCAGACATAGCCTCGGTAGTTTGGTCAAGCGGTGTTGTCGCCGCGACCACGGCCACTTTCGGCCGATGCTGATCTCTGCTCGGGCCTGCTGCAGACGAACGCAGGTTCTTAGCCTCCTTGTTCGTGACAATAATCTGCGCGGCCTTGTCAAATAGTTTTGCCGTTGTCGTCAGGGTGTCCTCGACATGAGTCAAAGCATTGCTCAATGTCGGACACGACCTTGAGATAAAATAGTGGCGGATGGCTTTGAAGCCCATTTGAATGTCTGGGACGGATGTCAAGCATTGGTACTCGGCAATCCAGTCGGTACTCGGCAGCGTGCCTTGTTCAAAGACCATTAGCTTGTCCATTGCCTTGATCTCCGGCGGCTCTACTTGCAACCGCTTATTCCATGCCGCCTTTAGATCATCCCAGTTGATCTTGGTGTGCAAGTCGCCAGCTACCACTCCGTACTTGGACAAGAGATTGTCCAACCATGCTTGGCACGCACCCCCCGACCGGGAGTATAAGTATGCGTAGTGCTTGTGTTCTTTGATGTAGTGTAACTGCAACGTGATCTCGAACTTGCGGAACCATGGAATCGGATCTGTCTTCGTCGAGTCGCAGAAGGTCTCCTACCCGTCGAACTTAGGAGCTGTCTTGCGTGGTTCCGGACTCGAGTGGTCGGCAGCAGTGCAGATCCGTTGTTCCAATTGTTGCGTTGCGGTTTGCTGTAACTGCACGCCGTCCTTGAGGAATTCGACGTCAATCTCCAATGCGTCGAGGCGATCGGAGGTGTTGGAAGAGCTGGCATCGGGGGCGGCGACAAGTCGCTGCTCCAGCCGCTGGAGGCGGCTGTGGACTTGAGTCAGTGCGTCGTCGAGGCTGTGGATGTCCTCCTGCTGTGTGATGCATGTTGCCAGGAGGTCCGTGAGATGGGAGAGGAGTCGAGCGATCTTGTTTTCGCTATCCTCCATCTTGCCATTCTCGGCCTCGGGCCGCCAATCCGCTTCCATAGTGAGCAAAGCTTGCTCTCCGCTAAATATCTTCTCACGACGTTGAACTCGTTCTTCATCAGCAGCCTTTGCTGCTGCCTCGTCGTGCTAGCGCTGCTGTTCAATTGCTAGCAGACGTGCCTTCTCGGCGTCCTCTGCCTTCTTCTTCGCTGCGGTTGCTACGTCATCTGCCCGTTTCTTGGTTTCGGTACTCCAGGCCAGCATCCGGGCCTGATAGGCCTCGTCCGTTTCCCCGGACCTCTGGTCCATGACGGCTGTTTGTGAACGCAACAGCATAGACCAGGCCGGGGGCCTGCTGACGTGGTACTCCTTGCTGCTGACGTCGCCTGCTGACGTGTCATGTTGACGTGGCCTGCTGACGTGGCCTGCTGACGTGGCAACTTACCAATGCCGCTGCGGGAGTGCCCGAAGACAGCTAGAGAAGATAGGACGAGAGGGGCAACAACATAGGTGGGGAGGGTGGGTGGGAAAAATCGCCCAGATAAGGAGCCACTAATCAAAAAAAGAAAAGTTTGAACTTCGCAAAAAAAAATTCGAGAAAATAGAAATCTCGAGTTTTGCAAGTTCAGTAGGTCTCCCAATCTCCCTTGAAGTGCGAAAGTATCAATGAGAAAAAAAATTTGAACTTCAGACTGCCAATGAAACATAGAACTGCGAAAAAAAAATTGTCCGAAAAGAAATACCAAGTATTCGGACTTACTCAGATGAGAGTATTCGCAGTTTCGAAAATGGTACTGCAAGAGGGATTTCCCGCACCGTTTTCAGAAAAACGAATTTCGGAAAAAAAAAAAAAATCCGAATTTCCAAATAACAGGAAATGCAACAGGAAATCAAAATTTTCGAGAAAAGATATTCCGGATTTCCAACAACGAAATTTCGGATTTTCAGAAGGAAAACGAAAACGGAAATTTCAGATGTTGCGCTATGGCGATTTTCCACAACAGAAATAGCGAGAAAACGAAATCCAAGAAAAGAAAAAAAAAATTGAGTTTCGGCAGTGAGGTCAAAATCGTGATTTTGGGGGCCAACTAGTGTGCTCTAATCAATCAATCAAGACTAATCAGCTACCTAGTCCCCGCAAACGTGTCAGATCAGGTTGTCCTGATTCACGTGCCGTGTTCTGATACCAACTGTTACATGCCCAGTTGGGCGATGTACATACAAACCGAGGATCCGCAATGTGATAAAAAGGACTGAATGGACAATGCAGTGCAAGTAGAATCTCAACAAGCAATGTGCATTCCGATACATACAAAATGGTGCTTTATTGCGCAGGGAAGACTTAGATACAAATCCTGACCTGACTGGGACTGACCCCCTTTCACGTAGTACAAGATAGCGAAGCAGAATGCTAGAATACTGATGACTAGCCCAATCAATGTCTCCACGCAGACTAAACATACATCATGCTCATCACGAGGTGTAAAGGAGCCTGACGCTATACACAGGAAAGGAGCGCCAGGTCCAGACATACACAGACGAAGAGGAGGGGATCAGACGAAGGAGAGGAAGGGGGAGATGGGAAGTCGTCAACACCAAGTCTCGTTACAAGTCTCAAATAATCCCTCTCCAAAATGTCTGAAGTCCAGTGTCGAGTCTGGATCCAAATGTCACCAAGCTCTCTCTCTCTCTCTCTCTCTCTCTCTCTCTCTCTCTCTCTCTCTCTCTCGTAGTCTGCTGATGCAGTGAAGTCAGATAGCGAGAGGGTGAGAAGGAGATGGTGGACTGAGAAGAGGAAGAAGAAACACTCTCTCTCTCACGAGCCAGGTACTAACCTGTGAAGTTGGCGCTGTGCTGAGGTACCTCGAAGACGAAGCTGGAGCAACGGCGCTGCAAGTAAGTATCCCTGGCCTCCGCCCAATCTCTCTCTCTCGAGTACTACTCTAGCTGCTATGGCGCCCAGCGCTGAAGACTACAGCTAACGCTTCTAGCGCCCAGCGCTGAAGACTAATGCTAACGCTACCACTACTCTTGCAGCACTCCTCCAGAGTGCTGCTGCCGAATACTGAAGACTACTGACTGCCTCCTGCTTACCCGTGAAGTGCATGGGAAGTCCCTATGTACTATCTCGGCCTGCCTCCTGACTGCCTCCGACTGCCTGCAGTTG